AAATGTAATGGCTTGTGGGAGTGCCAGTTACAGCCTGAAAAATGTTTCTTGGCATTAGCATGCCTAATTGAAGTCTCTCCATCCTGGTGAAATAAAAGATTCGGAGCTCAGTTCTGTGTTCCACCCAGGCTACATTACAGGAAAGGGAAACAGGGATAAGGGAGGTGATTTCAAGTCACCTTTAGCATCTCCTGTTGTGAGCCTGGCCGGTTCCCAGCTGCCTGAACATCCCGAGAGCAGTGGGAACTTACACTCCACTGCCTCTGGTTTGAGGTTTCTTCCACCGTTAAGGAAAACAGTTAAAAATTGGAAAAACGACTGAGCTGCCCCGGTCAACAGAAAAGAAGCAGGATTAGTTCAAGAGCAGACCAGCACAGCTTTTAACCCAAGTCCTAGTTAGAGGGTTGGAGAGAGGAGCATGTTCGAAAGCGAGATATAAATTAGGGAAATTTTCACATGACTGGTTCAAGGCACCAGGAAGAGTTCCCATCAGCTTGTAGCATCCCCAAACTGGTCACCTCTTTGGGCAATGCTAATTCCACTTCACGCCTCGAAGGGCTGTACGGCACATTAGACTCATCGATCCCCAAATAAAATGGTTCCTCTTAAAAGCAATTACTGCATGGACTTCTACTGAAGATGTCTCTCAAGCCTGCCCGTCTAAGGATTCTCCATGAGCTCCACCACCCCAGGTTAGATCTGAAAGGGGAATGTCATGTAACCTTCGCCGTCTAGGGAGGAGTGGCACAGGCACACGGAGCAGCGTTAGCCCTGCAGTGGTCTGCCAGGGTGTCCTAGTGTCCTGGAGGTTGCTGCAAGAGCTTACGGCGAGGAGGACAGGAGACATTCTCCTCTCCTGCCACAAAGGACCACGGGTTCCTGCAGAGGACCAAACTCAGGCATAAATGTCACGTTGCAACCGCTTTTAATCCAGCCTTGCGGTGAAGGCAGCAAAGGGAGTCAGCCATGATCTCTGCTGGGAGGTTGAGCTCAGAATTATTTGAAACGGGTGCTGGTGTACAAGCCAGATACCTTTCAGTATCAAGAGCATAGCCATAATATATCGGGTATCACTTTACGGGGTGAGTTTTAAATATGTTCTACATGTTGAATCACATATTCACATACTGAAATGGGCAGCACATTTAATGAGTAGCCCAGGTGGCTACTGTAGATTTCGATTTAAAACAAGATTGCCAAGACCGAAACTCGTTTGCCAAAATGGAAGTCTCTTCAGGTGCTCCTTTTGTATCACTTCGGCTGCCCACCATTACCAAAGCAGAAAAATGTCATATACAGGATATGTATTTAGATAAACTCACTGACTGGTTTTTTCCATCTATACTCTACAGCATAGATGATCTATATTTGGAGATACTCCAGACCAAAAGGAATGAATATTGTTTCGATCTGATAAGCTGAAACAAAAGAAATTCTGTTTATACCTGGTCCAAGACTGCTATACATATATTAGATACAGAAACAAAACCGTCTCGAAGTGGTAAACAAGCAATCAAAATTTTCCCAAATATAATCTGGCATAACCAGTTAGATATTTTATTTGTCTGGTAGTCCCATATGTACGTTAGATGTCTATACCTCACACTTCGTAAGTACTTTCAGGTGTAACTAGAGGATACACCTTTTTAATGGAGTGATGCTTTGAGAATTTAATTTTTAATATCATTAAAATATTTCATTACTTTTAAATTACTTTAGGGATGAGGGAGGAGTTGGTATACTTAGAGCAGCAGGCAAGGAAAGCAGTCAAGTACATCTGAGCTCTCTCTGGCTTTCCTATTGTTCACAGGTGCAAAGACCGAAAAAAATACTGGAAAAAAGTTTAAATCATGCTGTATGAAGGGATCTGAACTGAATCAGTGAGACAACGAATTATAAAGAGGTAGAGCAGCAATCTATTCTAAAAAAAAAAAAAAAAGAGTAACTGTCCTTACTCATGGGTATGATTGGATATTCTGGTTTTCAGAATCATAGAATCATAGAATGGTTAGGGCTGGAAGGGACCTTCAAAGGTCATCTAGTCCAACCCCCCTGCAAGGAACAGGGATATCTCCAACTAGATCAGGTTGCTCAGGGCCTCAATGTGGTCATAAAGCATAGATATCCCACCCACTCCTCCGACAGGGAAAACATCTAAAGATGGACACGATACTAACAAGAAACAACGGCGATGGCTTAAAAGCTCCTACTCCCAAATAAATCAAGCACATGAGAAATGAGTTGCTCCTATTTGGTATGAGCCACTCTGCAAAACCATTCTCCCGTATTCCAGTTACGGCCGGAGGTCAGAGGGAGAGGCACCAGGCACAAAGGCATCGCGCATGCGGAGTGCTTCGCCTTTTCCAGTGCGGACCCCGGTGAACGGCACCTTCTGGGACACCCCGAGCAACTACTGGTGGTTTCCAAGCAGTCACCGTGGTGGCCAAACTGCCCTCTGAGATGGCGTGAGGCAGCTCAGATGTCATCCTTCCACAACTAACAGGTGAGCACGAGAAAGGGATTTTTTACTGAGACAGGATGAGCTGATAAGATAGTTGCTGGGGTTGATGACATCAGACGTGGCTTCGATTCACACTTACTCTGATCTACGGGTGGCCTGCTGCCACCCAGAGCAGTCCCGTTGGACTCCTTGACCTGCATCAACAGGTTTCCTGCCCCGCTCGTGGGCTGGACTCAGCTACTGGAACTGGGGAATGTGGTTCTGTCAGCTGACTCAGCGGAAAACTACGTGGGTTTTGCCATTTTGGGCAGGTTCATTTTCCATTAGCCTGCTCTGCCGCTCCATAATCAATTGATGTGACTCAAAGGAAGCAGCAAGAACATGTGGCTAAGGGCAAGATGGATGGAGGTCACCCTTTCCATGGAGCCTGTAGTTACACCAGACTAAATGTTATGCCCCTCTGCCACGTACTTTCTCTCTCGACTGCCCAAATACTGAGACAAGACGACAGTAACAGTCCGCTCCTGATTTCTATAAGGGCTTCATTCTGTTGACACCAAACATAGAGTGGGTGGCCTTTTCTTCAGGCAGTGAAAGGAAAGGGCAGCTCAGGTGGGTTACCCTCCGTCAGTGCGACCCCTGAGACAAACCTAAATACCAGTTTAGACATAGAAAAGGGACTTCCTCAGGTTACCATTTCTGATCACCACCTTTAGAGGGAACCGGTGGTGTTTAATTTTTATGGAACTACCTAGGTTAACTTTTTCCTGTTACGTATTGTTATCGTGATTGTTACACCTATGAATTCTTCCTCCTTCTATAGTTCCTGTGGTCAGCCAAAGAATGATTTCGATAGACTGCTGGAAGCACACCTGGATTTGCCTGGCTGAAGAGATCTTGACGGTCAACTTGAAGCATCAGTGCAGATGTACACGGTGGCTTCTATAATTAATTTTGATTATCTGTCAGAGGACTGGTGTGCACATGTGTTAAGAAGAGGGAATGGAAGAGAGAGGCAGGTAAAGACTAAACCATTTATGCTTTGTCAGAGAGAATGAGCATTGCTGAAAAAACTAAAATCTCTCTCAGACCACACGGTGCTGTCGGAGAAGTGGTCGCTGGATTTTGGAGAGGTAAGGCAGAAAGACTGCCCATTTCTTGTGCTCTTCTAGCAAGACAGCTACTGACTAGGTTTAGATTTTATCTGTATTCTCTTCCTTCCATAGATAACTTCTGGTTTCTCTCAAAACCAAAATTTGGGCACGGCTTTTCGTTTCGGTTTGTGTACATTTCTTGTTTGGTTTACTGAAATCTTGCTCTTTACAGCATAGACACGTGGCAAAAATCCACTCCGTACGAAGAAAACCTCGTCACAAAAGATGCGTTGTGCAAAAATTTAGTGAACTGAATTCCTAATTAGGGAAAAATTCCTTAGACCTGTCTATCATGTAACCAATAATAACTTCTGTTAGGAAAAATCATTCTCCTGGAGCTGAAACGCAAAAGGCTGCTACTCAAGCTCCAAAACATTAATTTGTAATCCTAATTCAGGGAGTATCACGCTGTTTAAAACAGAATGACTAAATGTCCTTTTTTAAAGAAAAACAGTGCAATGAACTGTCTTTAAATTCTCCCTGAAAGACAATCACATTCAGATGTTCCTTGGCACCAATTAGGTTCAGTGGAGCCATTTCAAAAGCATTTCTTCTTTAAATAGCACGAGATGTTATATAAAGTTATGTGGCTATTGGAAGGGAACTCACGTACTGTATTAAGGTGAGGGTCCAGAATACCACTGGGATACTTAGCAGCAAGTGCTAAATCATAGTTCGGTGAGGTCACATAATCAAATTCCAGATTATCCCTTTTATTACGTCCCACTAATAAATCTTTGGAAACTAGAGTCTGACAAGTTCATCACAGCATTTTAGCTTTTCAGTGGTGCATGTAGAATACATATACACATAGAACCTTACAAAAAGCACAAAAAAAAAAAAAACAACAACAAAAACAAAGCAGCAGCAAGTCCACAATGAGAACGGGAAGAAAAAGTAGTCCCAACGTCAGATGCCACCAGACTGCCAAGTCACACCCAAAGACGTGCCCCCGTTTTTCATTTGAACCCTCTCCGCTGAAGTAGAGCAGTTTATCATTTAGTTCCAGCCAACAGATTTGCACGTCCGAGGTTTCACTGTATTATGGATGGGACAATGTTAAATATGTTTTCCCCGCGGTTCCACAGGTCACTGGCATGGGCATCAGCCAAGATTAAGATTTTTGCAACACAGCTACCAGTCATGCAGCCAGCTCTACCGTAACTAACAGCGTCTAACGCTCAGATAATACGGTTTCATCATCTCAAACGCAACTAAAGAGCCCTTTCCCGTACAGAGATGATCCAAGCAAAAGTCCACGCCATTCCACCAGGCTGTTAATTGATCTTTTTTTTCCACCAGGACTCAAAAGGAGGAGGGGGGTTAAGGGAACTCACTGATATAGCAACATGGTTGAACGCAAACCTATGCTGCAGAAGACTTACCATCATCCAGGTACATCTGGTCCAATTCCTCAGGTTCTCGCTTGATCGTTACAGGAATAGGGGCCAAATTATGATTACTTTCCTCATGCAACTCTGGCAATGACAGTGGTTGGGTTGTTGGAGACTCATTTCTGTGAACCTTCGGCAGTTGCTGCTGCTGTTGACCCATTATGGATGAGTGAGTTGGACTGCAGGACTGCAAATAGGTTGGCTCTTGGGTAACAGATGGAACTGGAGAAGAGGGACTGTTGGGATAGAGTGTTTGTTGATAACCAAGGGGACAGCTACTGCTCAGATGTTGACTCACCTGCGGCTGTAGCATGATGTGAGATGATTGCTCGGGGGAGCTTGGGTGCACAACTATAGACCTTGGCACTTCCTGTATGGTGGGGACACCTCCAGCGGGCTGCTGAAGTCCGAGGTGACTGTGGCCCGGGTTGGGGATGCACTTGTAAGGAGAGGACGAAAGGTCGTGCAGCTTGGGGCTTGCGTTGGGAGAGGGTGACATCACGGCATTTCTCTGCTGACAGGAGGCAAAGCCAGCCACGAGGCACGAACCAGGATCAGGGGGCATCATGATCTGCTGGCTGTAGTATGGTTTAGAGAGAGGGCTTAAGCCTTGGTTCATTGGTCCACAGGTTTGAGCAGGCTCATAGTCATCTGTGGGTTCTGTTTTTATAATTGGAACTGTTAAAAGAAAAAAGTTTTAAATAAACATGAGTTGCGTATTGGTATGATCAAGTTGGCTTGTGGCTAGGATACCCTTTGCAAAACAAACAACCTCTTGAATAAGACTCTGTGTGTCTTTTGCCTAGTTCTCCCACTCTATAAAAAAAAAAAATGAATGAGTCATCAGCACAAGAAAGTCACAGCTGGTTCTAATATTGAAAAGGACTATTTTCTTTGGACTCTCCTCCAGCACTAATGTGCTATAAAAATCTATTTGCAAATAGCTGTGCTTCAGTGGAAGCTTTGGACCCAAGGGCTCCATGGATTTGTAGTAATCAAAGCAAGAATTTTAACTTGGATATACTACTGCATTTCTACGGCTACTGATGGCCCATTTGATAGATGTCTGCTCATTTGGTAAACTGGAGCATAATAAGGTAGAGATGAGGCTTTCAGAGTTCAGTGGAAGTAAAATCGCAAAGATACACGACAAACTACTATGTACAAGAAGTTTTCAATTACGAGGGTATTTTTGAAAGAGAAGGATTTGATTTATGGAGTTTTTACATGATTGTGTTTAATCTTATTAACCAGCCAATGGGTGTAAAGTACTCAGTGAGTTGCATCCAACTCTTAGTGACTCAAAGTTGGATCCAACCTCCTAATGCCAGCTCCTAACAAATGTTAACTTAGTTTCTGGCTACCAGCAAAACCTGACTCCTATTCTAGACCTCAGCTTGCTCTACCCATTGTCCCAAAAGAGGCTCTAATTGAGCTGTCAAGCCATGTCTCTACCACCAGCACATGGACAGAATGACCGCATACGAGCATCAACGCAGTTGTGACAAACATAGAGCTGCTTTCTTGGATCAGAGAAGAGACCCCTCCTCAAACAAAAGTGTCTTTTTCGCATCAGCTTTCTCTCTCAAATCAGAGAGAGGCATCTTTGCTGCTTCTTCCATGCCATGTGCAGTGCAGAGGTAAAAGACACTCAGTTTTTCTAGCAGGGCTGTGCTTTAGGCCGTCCGGCAACTAAACACCCCACAGCCTCTCGCTCACGCTCCCCACTCCCAGGGGATGGGGAAGAGAATTAAAGGGAAAAAGGGAAAGAAACTAGAGGCCTGTGGGGTGAGGTAAGAACAATTTAATACTAGTAACAATAACGTATGAATATATATATATATATGAATAATGATGATATACACAAACAAGTGATGCACAGTGTAATTGTTCACCACCCCTTGACCAAGGCACATCCCAGACTAACAATCCCGAAACAGGTCAGTCCCAACACTGCAATCCCAGACCAGCGAGAGGCCCAGAGAGAGAGAGAAGAGTGCACATCAAGAGTCCCAGAGTGAGAGCCTCCAGAAGACCAAAAGCCCTTCGTTCCAGTCAACCCTCATCTTTATACTGGGCATGACGTTGCACGATATGGAATACTAATTGGCCAATTTAGCCCTCAATCCTAAATCTAAGCTCAAATTGTAAGGGGAGTTGTGGACACCCCGTCCCGGCTGTGCTCCCCCTTATCCTGTTGTGTTCCTGCACACTGGCAAAACGCGGGAAGCTGAAAGGTCCTTGAGGTCTCAGTGCCAACCATAAACATCAGTGTGCTGTCAACGTTCTTCTCATAACAAATCCCAGACTAAAACCAAAACACAGAGCTCTTCTAGCTGGTAAAGAGAAGCACTAATTGTGTTCCAGCTGAAACCAGGACAATCAGGAAAATTATAAATAATAGGACCCAGCTAGTCTGTAGATGTACTTTTTCAAGCCAGATGCAACTCTAATACATACAACAATTGAGCATGGATGCACAGTGGCATTTATCTTCTTTCCCAAAAAGAGATCCACAGGAACAGCTGTTGCTTGAAGGTGCTGTTGGAAATTTACAGTGATATCAGAGAATATATTTACGAATATCAGAATAACCGACCCGTTGTGGAACAAAGGTATTGATAAAACATCTTTGCACAACTCAGCAACACCCTTACACATTCTCCAGCCATCTACTGTGTCCGTGTATGACTCTCCTGAACCTCTAAAAACGCACGTGTGCGCATACGTACGTATAAAACTTCTTTTAACACTCACAAATTTTGCTGCTGGTGAATGCACTTCACTACCCTTGTTTTACAGCCCCCCAGCCCCTAGTTAACTTTGCTCCTTTTATGTTCTTACACATATAGATGCTTGCAACACTCGTTTCAAGATTTCTAGCACCCCTGGTAAAAACACGTCTATAGATGGAACAGATGCACAGGTGCTGCTCAGGAAGAACGTGCTAAGGATAATGGACTGCCATTGGATTCCTCGTAATCTTATTTTCACCTGCTCACGTGCTGCGCACCGGCTAGCAGGGCTGCTAACACGCTTGGTTGCAGAGAAGCAGATTCCAGCTTCAATGACAGCTTTATAAAACCAACATCACACCCTTTATGAAAATGCAGGACCAAAGAAACGCACCTAGATAAACATAGCAGCTCAGATATTGTAAGAAAATACCTTTAATAAGTTCCTGAGCTAGCAAATACTCTCACGTGTTTTATATTAGGCTCACCGTGCTTGCACTAACCACAGCACAGCTGGAAATATGATGGTTGTTGAACACTGAATTTTCCCAATATATCACTGTTATAGAAACACCTGTGCTAAGTAATTCCAAGCTCAACCACTGGCAATTCAACTCCAATAAACCCTGGAGTTGTCTGACTTGTTATAACCCAGGGAAGGGTTACAGCCCTGGCGGCAGGCGGGCTGGAGGCTTTAAAGAAGGCAGGTTCCTCATCCCAGGCTGATCCTTCATCGTAGCTCTTCTGCGGCACCTCTTTGCTACTTGGTTTACCAGGCACTTTTTTTGTCACTTTGCTTAATTTTTTCTTTACAAAAGCGATGCCATGGGGTCTCTTTGGAGATCTGATGAGTGGCCATGAACACTGGGAATCTTTTCATATGTTGCTACGCTGAACTACGCCTGCCGCAGCCAACAGAGGATAACCAGTAAGTCCTGTGCTGCACTGGGTGAAGGACTGATGGGCAGAAAGGACAATGTTCCAGACCTGCTAGTCCAAAAACTCTCCTGGAGGTGGTCACAGAAACCAAGGACACTCCTGGCTGTCCCTAAATTCAGAGGGAAAATAGGGACTGGTGTTAATTATAGGACCAGTCGGGGTAAGTCACAGCAGCTCGTTTGCTGATGGCAGGTTGGCAGCCAGAGAGGGAACCAAGAAGGAGGGATATGGAATCAAGTGGGACCTCTGTTTTATTTGACATATATTTATTTGAGGCCCTGAGCAACCTGATCTAGTTGGAGATATCCCTGTTCCTTGCAGGGGGGTTGGACTAGATGACCTTTGAAGGTCCCTTCCAGCCCTAACCATTCTATGATTCTATGATTCTATGACATCTGTTTACATTGTCCCCTTGTATCACTCTGAACTGATACTCCTGAGCATCAGTAATTTCATGCCATGGGAAACAAATTGTCTTTAAATGGACAGATACTACCTGCACTTTGGCTTAGAGGTGTCCGAATTTGTTCATCTGAATTGTCTCCATTACCTTTTTTAATGTGTTTTTTCCACACAGTAAAAAAGTCTCCCCTTGCTAAGTACCATGGATTTTGCTTGTACGGTAATCTCATCACTAGAATAGGCATCACACTGAAAGACAGAAAAAAAATATTGATGCTGAAAGGGATTTGTATCTGACTTTTCCGTGCCTCGCCATTCGTACAGCCATTTAACCCTCTGCAGAGCGAGCGTACGGATCAAGCTGGGATGGCAGCCACTCCCTCCCCTTTAAAAAAGTGTAAATGTTTTCACAGGGTATCAGTTTGGAGAAGGAAGCTCTGTAGGATTTATTTATTTATTTATTTATTTTTCCTGGAGAAACCATTACTAATGACCCGGATGATCTGGAATCAGAGCTGCAAAGCTGAGCATGTCAGTAGCAACGTAACACTGCCCTTTCTGGCTAGACCTCAACTTTTGTATTTTGACATTACTAACTATGCTACTTGACTTGTGGAGGACAGATACACCACAAATTGCCACATTACACCACTTAACGGCTTATTTATAACACTGTCTCCTGTATCTGCTTCTCCCCAGCCTACGTGACTTCACCAACGGGAGTAACAAAGGCCAAAGATCTTTGCCAATGTTTGTACTTCCAAACTCAACTCCCAAGAGCTGTGGGTCTGTCCTCCTGGTCTTTCTGAAAATACCGTGAATGTGTGAAAAGTTGGTGGAAAACACCTTATGTTCTTCCTTTAAAAGGGCAACAGTTTAGTTCCACTTTGCGAAGGACTGCAGAGAGCCCGAGGCAGGAGCTGTGGGTATCTCAAGGTCCACCTTCCAAAACCCAACGCAGGATCAGCCTGTACCTGTACTCACTGGCTACCCACTTGCCATCACAGCGTCTATGCTGAAAGAACCTTTACAGGCTGAAAGAGTTGGGGCTGTTGAGCCTGGAGAAGAGGAGGCTCTGGGGTGACCTTATAGCGGTCTTCCAGTACCTCAAGGGGCCTACAAGAAAGATGGGCAGAGGCTGTTCAGGAGGGCCAGTTGTGATAGGACAAGGGGTAATGGTTTTAAAATAGAGGGAGGTAGATTCAGGTTGGATATTAGGAAAAATTTTTTACTATGAGAGTTGTAGAACACTGGAACAGGTTGCCCAGAGAGGTGGTGAATGCGCCATCCCTGGAGACGTTCAAGGCCAGGTTGGACGAGGCCCTGAGCAACCTGATCTAGTTGGAGATATCCCTTGATGTTCCTTGCAGGGGGGTTGGACTAGATGACCTTTGAAGGTCCCTTCCAGCCCTAACCATTCTATGATTCTATGATTCTATGGTGTTCCTCAAACAAGTTAAAGTACTTGCACGTAACAAAGCTACCAGTTCCTAAACACCCCACCCACTGTCTCGCTGACTCCTGATACAGAGAGTACAGTTAATTTTCTCAGGATTAATAATTAACGGAGAACAGTATCAGCCCGACTAACTTCCAGCTCAA